AAATGTGTTAATACACTAGTGCGTCTGAAACATTTATATATCTGGAAACAGTCTGCCTTGTGAAATTTCATCAACTTTAAGCTAACATTAGCCTAACTTGTGCTTGGCAGACTGTAAAAAATTGTTCTTAGTTACACGATTTAATTGCTAACTAACATAAGTATGCTTTATTCTTGTACTGGAGAAAACCGTCTGCCAATAAACTTTTAGTGTATTGCGCAATTTTGCCTTGTGTTCAAATAAATGGCAGACTGTAAAAAGTTGTTTCAAAAAACTACTTTTTTTTCCTAACTAAAGTTAATGTTGAAGTATGCATTAACACGCAACGAAGATTTTTAAGTACATCTATCTACAGCTTGTGACTGTAAATATTTCCCCTATCAATGGCAGACTGTAAAAAACTGTTCCATTTTTTGTGTTACGAGCGCCCGGTCTATTACCCTCATTGAATTGACTTCGTAACTGATAATACAACTTGGAAAGAATTTATACCTCCGATAGACTGCCTAATCTGACACGAAAGCATTTGAGTTTGATGCAATCATTATTTCCGAAGAATCAAGCGCTAAACGTGCGACATAATTCCAAAGGCAAGCGCAATAATATCATTCCAGGCAAGATGACAAGAAGATACGTTAGAAGATGAAAGAAAGACAGTTGATAAAACAAAATATTCTCAATCAGTAGAAACAATTCATACCATGGAAAATTGAGACGGAGAACAATTGCGAAATGAAGCTAGAGGATGAAAAAGGAAAATAAAACATATCGTAAATAAAGCGCAAAATGACTATTTATTAGTGTAAAAATGTTAACGAACAAGTATTTACACAATTTACAGTGTTTCCCATTTTGTTACGTACGTTTTTACAAGCATTTCTCAAATTCATTAAATCCGTGTTACTAAGGTAGCTTAATATTCCTTGAATACAAAGTAAATCACAATCTCTATTGATGTAACGGCGGAACAATCTAACGCTCTCGTCTAACGACTTCTTTCGGAACATACCTCTGTTGAAACGATGTTTTATTACGTCTTTGTACATAGGAAATTCTGTCTGGTAATTGCTCCGTTTCAAACCCTGAACAACATTTTTATTTCTTGCATATAATGCTATTTGGTCTATGCGTTTTATTAGGATATCGTGGAATGTCACGATAGTATTGTTAATTTTCGTGTTTTTCATTCTCTTTATCTCTTCAATACATTTCTTTTCAAACTGAGATTGCCCGTTTATATCCGTAGTGATACTAAGATTCTCCATATTTCCGTTATTCACGTTCAACCTAGCAATCTGCATTTTTAATAGTTGCTGTTGGATATTAGTACACTTATAGTGACTCATAAATCCATACTTAGAGTAGTATAATTCTAACGCTGTTTTATGGTATTTATTAACCATGTTCACGTTAGAACCATTTTCTATAAGAGTCAGAACGGCTTCGTACTGATTGGCGCGAGATGCAAGATGAAGTGCAGTATTACCAGTTTTATTTATGGAATTAATGTCGACGCCCGAATACAGGAGTATCTGCATGATACGCATTTGACCACATTCAGCGGCAAAATGTAACGCTGTGCATCCACTTACATCTTTGTCATTTACGTCAGCATCTTCTTTGATTAGCATCCTGCAAATTTCTTCTTGTTCACCTCGCACAGCAAAATGGAGCGGAGTCTCGCCTCTTTTAGTTTTCAAATTGACATCGGCGCCCTGATCTACGAGGAATTGTACGATATCTCTGTGTCCCTCCATAATGGCTACGTGCAGTGCCGTTTTTCCACTTTTGTCTTCGGCACCCACGTCAGTTCCTCCTTTGATTAACAACCTGCAAATTTCTCTTATTCCTAGTCGAGCAGCAAAATGAAGCAGTGTCTCGCCCCTTTCAATTTTCAAATTGACATTGGCACCCTGATCTACGAGGATTTGTACGATATCTTTGTGTCTCCCCTGAATGGCTAGATGCAGTGCCGTTTTCCCACTTTCGTCTTTGGCATTCACGTCAGCTCCTCTCTCGATTAGTAGCCTGCAAAGTTCTCCTAGTCCTACTTTCACAGCAAAATGAAGCGGTGTCCGGCCAGATTTAGTTTTCAAATTGACATCGGCACCCTGATCTACGAGGATTTGTGCGATATCTTTGTGTCTCTTCTGAATGGCTTGGTGCAGCGTCGTTGATCGATATAAGTCTTCGGCATTCACGTCAGCTCCTCTTTCGATTAACAACCGGCAAATTTCTTCTAGTCCTAATCGCGCAGCAAAATGAAGCGGTGTCTCGCCTCTTTTAGTTTTCAAGTTGACATCGGCATCCTGATCTACGAGGATTTGTGCGATATCTTTGTGTCTGTTTTGAATGGCTTGGTGCAGTGTCGTTGATCGATATGAGTCTCCGGCATTCACGTCAGCTCCTCTTTTGATTAACAACCGGCAAATTTCTTCTAGTCCTAACCGCGCAGCAACATGAAGCGGTGTCTCCCCTCTTTTCGTTTTCAAGTTGACATTGGCACCCTGATCTACGAGGAATTTTACGATATCTTTGTGTCCCTCCATAATGGCTACGTGCAGTGCCGTTTTTCCACTTTCGTCTTTGGCATTCACGTCAGCTCCTCTCTCGAGTAGCAACCTGCAAAATTTTTCTAGTCCTACTCGCGCAGCAATATGAAGCGTTGTTTCGCCCTTTTTAGTTCCCAAATTGACATCGCCACCATGGTCTAAGTGGATTTCTGCAATATCTTTGTGTTCCATCGGAATAGCTAGTTGCAGCGCTGTGATTCCGTTTTCGGTTAAGCCAAACACGGTAGAGCATCCAGGATACTTCCATACTTCTATTTTATCTTTTATAATCGACTGAAGCACAGTCTCGCAAATTCTAGTTTTTAAGTTGACATCGGCATCCTGATCAACGAGGATTTGTGCGATATCTTTGTGTCTCTTCTGAATGGCTTGGTGCAGCGGCGTTGATCGATATAAGTCTCCGGCATTCACGTCAGATTCTCTTTTGATTAACAACCTACAAATTTCTTCTAGTCCTAGTCGCGCAGCAAAATGAAGCGGTGTTTCACCCTTTTTAGTTCCCAAGTTGACATCGCCACCATGGTCTAAGTGGATTTCTTTAGTATCTTTGTGTTCCATCGGAATAGCTAGTTGCAGCGCTGTGATTCCGTCTTCGGTTAAGCCAAACGAGTTAGAGCATCCAGTGTGTGGATACGTCCAAACTTCTAGTTCATCTTTTATAATCGACTGAAGCAGAGTCTCGGGAATTCGAGATTTCAAGTTGAGATCGGCCCCCTGGTCTACGAGGATTTGTACGATACGTTTGTGTTTCTTCATAATGGCTTCAAATACCGCTGTTAATCCGTATCTGTTCTCGGCATTCACGTCAGCTCCTCTCTCGATTAGGAAGCTGCAAATTTCTTCTAGTCCTAGTCGCGCAGCCAAATGAAGCGGTATCTCTCCCCTTTTAGTTCCGAAGTTGACATCGGCACCCTGATCTACGAGGATTTGTACAATATCTTTGTGTCCCTCCGTAATGGCCAGATGCAGTGCTGTTTTTCCACGTTCGTCTTCGGCATCCACGTCAGCTCCTTCTTTGATTAACAACCAGCAAATTTCTTCTTGTCCTTCTCGCGCAGCAAAATGAAGCGGTACCTCGCCCTTTTTAGTTTTCAAACTGACATTGGCACCATGTTTTAGGAGGATTTGTACAATATTTTTGTTTCTCTGCAGAATAGCTAAATGCAGTGCAGTAGAGCCATCTGCATTTTTGGCATTCACGTGAGCACCGCTGTGAATGAGTCTTTTTACTGTTTTTATGGAGCAATTCAACACAGCAATGTGGAGCGGTGTGTTCGTAGGCTTTTGAGTTCTGTAAATCGCATATTTGCTCATAACCAGTTCCTCCATATCGTCCGGTCCGTGGGGAATTGTTATTAATTAAATCACTGTTTAAAAATTTCCTGCTCAGATCGCCTCTTCAAGTCTAGGCAATATCTCCCTTATAGACTGCCGATATATATATATAAGCCTTGGTTTAGTTATTCATTAAAATTAATTGATAATGATAAGACGGAATACGTCGATCAGCTTCTCTCGAGTCTCAATGACCTAAAAGTTCAACTACGTTATTTCTCTCTGTTCCTTTTATATCCTATATCTTACTATTAATTTTAAAAATATTTAAGTGTTTGTTAAATTATTAGCAATATGGCTTTACTTACTAAATTTTATCGTAGCTGCAGTTATGTACTGACGTTCGTTAGGTTACACAATGGACACGACTGGACACGACGCATGGAGGGTTAACGCCGAACGAATAGAACGGATGGAAGATGGAAAGAATAAATCATAGAATAAATACTTATAGTTTGTAGTGCGGAATGCGTACAGTTGTAATTATGGAAGTAGCCACTTCGTCGCCACACGCAGTGATGTAAGATTTGCGGAATTTCGATCGCAGCGCGTACGGTGAAGAAAAGTGGAACTAAAAGTCTTGATGTAAAATTTGCGGATTTTTTCGCCCATAGCGTAGACCCAGTCTAGAATGCTGTTATGTCTTAGCTTTAAGCTTTGAACCTAGCCGCGCGCGTAGTTTGAACAGCGTACCACTACACGCGTAATTTTTCCGTATACGTGTATCAGGTAAACGGCAAGACCCAAACTGCAAACCTGCCCTTTAAATGCTCGTGTCTCGTGGATCCTTCGATGACCAGCAAACGCTTTCGCCTCAGCTCCTTCGTTTTCGCGTAAAGGGCTGCAAACGAGTCACGCTCAGCGATTGCACGTGCATATATAATTTTTTTTTAACAGCCATAAACATTTCAATGAATTTAACAAGATAACTGTATGTACTTTATATAATAACAATAATGAAAGTTGAATAATTAGTATGAAAAAATAATCTTATATAATAAATTTTATTAATAATTTTAAATAAACGTCATCTTCGGATCATCGCATGTATTTATAAGTTGCTGTAAAAATGTAAGACAGGACGCAAGACCAATAGTTTGCATTTCTTCGCGTCGTTGGAAATTATATTAAAAATATAAGGCGTGGTAATAGGAAAATAACAATCAAGATAGACTAGTGTGATTTAAAATCGTATACATTTTTATTTTATATAAATATTTATAATTATATTACAACTTGAATTAATTTTTGTGGAGTTTGGCCTGCTTTCTTTTCATTTGGGCCTCCATTGTCACTTTTTGGCTTTCTTGTTAAATAAATCGGCGCATTCTCAAACGTATATAATAATACACAGCGTGAACTAATCATAGAATTACTCTATCTATACATAGAATTATTGTATAGATAGAGTAGGGGAGGTTGCCCGGAAACCATATCCTGAATAGAAAGAAAGAGATAATAAGAGACCTCATGATGTAAAAACATAAGGTGTGTTCTTCCGGCGTGTTCAAATGAGTCGCTGTTTGCGCCTTCCACTCATCGGCCATATTGGAAGTACGATGGTCTATTGTTTATTTCAAAAACGCATATATATTACACTCCGAGAACCTAATTTTTGACATGTTTACGATTTAAAAATTCGCTCTGTTTTAATATGAAGTGTGATTGGTTAGAAATCCAAAATGGCCAACGAGTGGAAGTGTCCGTGTACAGATGAATGTTCAAATGGATGCGCAAGAACACATCTTATGTTTTTACATCATGAGAGACCTTTCTTTATCTCTTTCTACTAGCGCGTGATTGAAAGAGAGAATGAGATCTTCTATTTTCTTTCTCTATGTAAATGAGTATACGGTACCACTTACACAATAGCCTATGTCTTCAAGGAAAGTAATAGTCACATGGTTCGTGGAACCATTTGTGTTGGTTGTAACATAAAAACGTGAAAGTTCAAAACTGCACACTGAACTTTATTACTTGTATTACNATCTATACATAGAATTATTGTATAGATAGAGTAGGGGAGGTTGCCCGGAAACCATATCCTGAATAGAAAGAAAGAGATAATAAGAGACCTCATGATGTAAAAACATAAGGTGTGTTCTTCCGGCGTGTTCAAATGAGTCGCTGTTTGCGCCTTCCACTCATCGGCCATATTGGAAGTACGATGGTCTATTGTTTATTTCAAAAACGCATATATATTACACTCCGAGAACCTAATTTTTGAACGAGTGGAAGTGTCCGTGTACAGATGAATGTTCAAATGGATGCGCAAGAACACATCTTATGTTTTTACATCATGAGAGACCTTTCTTTATCTCTTTCTACTAGCGCGTGATTGAAAGAGAGAATGAGATCTTCTATTTTCTTTCTCTATGTAAATGAGTATACGGTACCACTTACACAATAGCCTATGTCTTCAAGGAAAGTAATAGTCACATGGTTCGTGGAACCATTTGTGTTGGTTGTAACATAAAAACGTGAAAGTTCAAAACTGCACACTGAACTTTATTACTTGTATTACTATATAATTACTATAATTAACTAAAAAATATGAATAAAAAAAGATATAATTAATATTTTATTTATTTAAACATTTTTGTAATTTTGTATAATTCTTAATACATGATTTAAGAATATTTAAAAATTGAAATAATGTCAATTTCGAGGATATTTATATATGTTCACAATTTGATTAGAGAAGGCAGTCAATTGTCAAACATTTATTTCGTACAAAAATAACGCGATTTAAAAAAAATAAAGCTTTCCAAAAAATCTACGAACACACTTTTGCATTGATTTGCTTTGCACCGAGCTT